GAAGGAGGTGACTCAATTACAGGTACAGGAATGTCTTGCTGCAATCATACAGAGGGTTGGTGAGACCACACCTGAAGTATTGTATGCAATTTTTGTCACCTTATCTGAAGAAGGAAGTTCTGGCTATGGATGAAGTGCAGCAAAGGTTTACCAGAGTGATCCCCTGGGATGGCAGGGCTGAGGTATGCAGCAGGGATTGGTTAGGATTACATTCATTGCAGTTTAGAAGAATGAGGAGCGATCTTATAAAATAAAATTCTGACAGGACAAGAAAAGATAAATGCAGCGGCTGAGGCCAAAATATTGAATGTTTCCAAGGAGTTAGATATAGTTCTTGGGGCTAAAGGGATCAAACGGTATGGGAGGAAAGGAAGAACAGTATACTGAGTTGGATGATTAACTATGATCAGAATGAAAGGCAGAGGAGGCTCAAGGTCAAATGGCCAATTGCTTTTATTTTCTATTTCTATGTTTCTATCATTGAAGATTAGAGGAATGTAGATCAAGAGGAAGAAATAGAATTATGCTACACAACTTGAAACTGAAAATAAAAGACTTCTATAGTCAAACAAAGAAGTATGTCCATCTGTGAAGAAATGAAGAGAGGACTTACCCTAATGTTGATCTCTACCTTTCAGAAGTAAGCAGAAGGGTATAATTAGGGTCTGTGAAATTCCGGAAATACTCAGAGGGTCAGACTACACCTGTGGGTAGCAAAACAACTTGATGTTTCAGGTCAATGACCTTTCGTCAGCACTGTTACAATGACTCTGATGCCTGACTTGCATTTTCTGTTATTCGTTCACATTCCCAGCATCTGCAGTGTGAATTTAACTAGGGTGATTGTGGAGTAAAATAACAACAAATTTAATGGCTGGAAAGCCTATTTAATTGCTGTAACATTCTATGATTCTGTAAGGAGTTTAGAGGTAATGGATGAAGATTGAAATGATTAAATATTCTGAGGTATGATGCCTTCTATGCCACTGAGGCCAAGGAGGTTATTCATTGTGGGGCGTGGTTTTTGCCTGTTTATAGATGGTCTGCTCATGTTTAATAGTAGATACATTTTGAGGTTGGGCACTTAGACATTGTCTGAGTAGTGCAGTGTTTATTATGCATAGATGTTTTATCCTCCTACAGAAGATTACTAACAAGGATCAATTCTCAATGTGGCCTGACTAAGAGCAATCCATTTGTCATACAACGAAGCAGGCTCCATAAACAAACTGCTAATGAATCTGAGACCATTTTGACTTTTCTGTAAACATGAAAGTTCTAACACTCACAGCATCTGTCTCTGGCCAGCTTCAAAATGAACCAATACTGAAAGCAGTGATTGAGCAAAATATATTATTAAATAAATTTATTGCTTGTAGACCTGCAAGTATACAGATTCATGCAGCACATAATCTGCTTTCGTCTGGCACGATTCTCTGGGGAATAAAATGTTGCTGAGAAAAATGTACATTTCGTGTAATTGAATCCAATTCTAAAAGTTACGCCAGTCATTTAACGTACATTTAAAATGAAATAAGCAACCCTTTTCACTACTGTTGCATTACAAAGCTGTGAATTATGTGTATGTATTGCTTAAGCAGTAGCAATTTTGAAATGTCTGTCAGAACAGTACTCCCATCTAGTGAAAGCTACTGTATTTGCATCCATGACATTGATCCTGACCTGCAATGAACTTAATAGTGCTGTGTAATGGATTTTGTCTATTTCACTTTTGCTTAGCATATTAATATTCAATATTTGGACTGTCTTTCAACTTTGTTGTGACATGGAGATGAACAGTCAAGTCAAGTCAGCCTCCCTATCTGTGCATCTGCAACAAGATAAAATTGAAACACTCAATGACCTGTAAAATTGCCACAATTGTTTCTAACCAGATTTTTAAAATAACCAAGAGCAGACTAACTGATACCAGACATTAAGTTTGTAGCATAAACAAAAGATTAACAATTTATTAATAATACTGAAGTTTCAGCCGAGTAAAGTTAAACAACAAGGTAATCTAATTAATGTCCATGATGAGGTGCATGGAGACTGGAGGTTGACTAACATGGTGCCACTACTTAAGAAAGTAAAAACCAAGGAACTAGAAACCAGTGAGGCTGACATTGGTGGTGTATAGGTTGTTGGAAGGAATCCTGAGGCACAAGATTTACATACATTTGGAAAGGCAAGCACTGATTAGGGATGGTCAACATGGCTTTGTGCATGGGAAATCATGTTCTACTAACTTGATAGAGTTTTTTGAAGAAGAAACAAAAAGGATTGGATGAGGGCAGAGTGGTGGTTGTGACCCATATGGACTTCAGTAATGTGTTAGAAAAAGTTTCTCATGGTAGACTGGTTAGCGAGGTTAGATCACATAGAAGACAGGAAGAACTAGCCACTTGGATACAGAACTGTCTGGAAGGTAGAAACAGAGGGTGATAGTGGAAGGTTGCTTTTCAGACTGGAAGTCTGTGACCAGCGGTGTGCCACGAGGATTGGTTCTGGGTCCACTGCTTTTCATTGTTTATAGAAATGATTTGGATGTGGACATATGGGGTATGATTTGTAAATTTGCAGACGACACCAAAATTGGAGGTGTATTCGACAGTGAAGAAGTTTACCTTAGAATACAATGGGATCTTGATCAGATGAGCTGAAGAGTGGCAGATGGAGTTTAACTTAGATAAATGTGAGGTGCTGCATTTTGGACAGGCAGATCAGGGCAGGACTTATACACTTAATGGTAAGGTCCTGGGAAGAGACCTTGGAGTGCAGGCTCATAGTTCCTTGAAAGTGGAGTCGCAGGTAGATAGGATAGTGAAGTTGATATGCTTGCCTTTATTGGCCAGTGCATTGAGTATAGGAGTTGGAGGTCATGTTGCAGATTTACAGAACATTGGTTAGGCCACTTTTGGAATGCTGTGTGCAGTTCTGGTCTCGCTGCTGTAGAAACGATGTTGTGAAACTTGAAAGGGTTCAGAAAAGAATTACAATGATATTGCCAGGGTTGGAGGATTTGAGCTACATGGGAGAGGCTGAATAGGTTGGGGCTATTTTCTCTGCTGAGGGGTGACCTTGTAGAGGTTTATAAAATCATGAGGGGCATGGATAGGGTAAATAGACAGGGTCTTTTCCCTGGGGTGGGCAACTCCAAAACTAGAGGGCATAGTTTTTAAGGTGAGGGAGGAAATATATAAAAGAAACCTAAGGGACAACATTTTCACACAGAGGGTGGTGCATGTACGAATGAGCTGCCAGAGGAAGTGGTGGAAGCTGGTACAATTATAACATTTAAAAGGCGTCTGGATGGGTATATGAATAGGAAGGGTTTAGAGGGATGTGGGCCAAATGCTGGGAAATGGGACTAGATTTATTTAGGATGTCTGGTTGGCTTGGATGTGTTGTGACTATCGATGATACAAATATCTCAGCAAGGGGCCTAGCCATCACTCCCATAGCTTCCCTCAGAGTTCTAGGGCACACCTGATCAGGTCCTGGGGATTTATGTACCTTTATGCATTTTAAGCCATCCAGCTGCTTCCCCTTTTGCAGGCTAGGTTTTCTGCTGTCCAGGCCCCACATGAGCCATAGTCACCATCCAAGAGCCAATCAAAATGTTGCCAAGTAACCATCACTTCACACAATCACCTTGGTTGAAAACAGTATTTTCCTTTTATTTAGTCCACAGTCCAAAAACAAAGGAAATAAAAATATGTAGATTTTATATACTACATCTTAAAATGCAAAACGCACAACAGTGACAACTGCACAGTCCTTGGGTAGACAATGTCTCACCTTTGCATTGAGGATGCCTTCCATTGTGTTGTGTGGTACTGCCACTTGCTGAATGCGATTTATTTTGAACAGATATGACAACTCAGCTGGGTTTCCAAAAACGATCAGCAGGAGCAGATTTGAAACGTTATGTTCTGACATATTCGCCAATCTACTATTGCTATCAAGCCAAGAGATCAACCCTGCTTTCAGTTTCTTTTTGATTCTTTGCTATTGACGCAAGGTTGTTTGTACACCATACAGATGTATGGGAACACCACTGCCTGCAAGTTCTCATCCCAATTCAGAATGATTTGGGAGCGCTTTAAAAATGGCACACACAATTTAATTTTGACTTTGATGAATAGTTTTGCTATTTTCAGGAGCTCCTTAATTGGGTGTCAGCTAGCATGGGATGTGAGATAGAAATTTCGTAGTCCTGTGCTATTTAATTGAGTCATTCAAAGTTTTCAGAGAGTTATGGTTAACTGAACCTCAGGAGTTATAAGCCATGGTCTGCATGAGAGAATCTTTTGAAAGGTAAGTTCAAAACATTTTTCCCATGCCAGCTACGTCACTTCCATGGCCATTCACCCATCATATGCTGCATAGAAGCAATGAATCCAAGTGTGGCAATAAGACATTTTTAAAAGAAAGCTTTTATAATTGCATTAGTGTTTTACCTTGCCAATTGCTTTCAAGTATCAATAGCTGTAACTGCAAGCAGTTGAAACGTCTTAATCTTTTATCAATGTTTATTTACAAAGACAGCCAGAATTGTCAATCAAGTAGTATTTTCCCTGGGACTCAGCTGTTTCAATGGTTTAGTGGATTTTTGGGCTGTCAGCCAGGCCTTGTTATGAATTCTTAGCTGAGAGCCATGTTATTGATGAGACTAGAGAAACGGGAGGCTGGAAAAGCACAGCAAGCCAGGTTGCATCTGGAGGAAAGGAGCAGTCAATGTTTTGGTATTACCCGTCTTCAGGACTAGAGAAGGGTAATACCCGAAATGTTAATAAGGTTTGTCTACCTTATTAACTAGATTGTGGAACAGCTGCAAAATACTACAGAATGGTAAGGAAAACAAAAATACAATTTTATTTTTAGTTTTGTTTGGTTTTACAATCAATTTAATTTCTCATACGAAACATTATATATGGTTAAATGTTAAAATACATTAATTGAATACAGAACAGTATTGTATCTCTTTTTCCCCCCAGTCGACTTGGAGCACATGCGAACTGTGAAGACAGACAAGCATCAACGATTTTGCCAGGAAAACAACATCAGTGGTCATTTTGTGTCTGCCAAAACTGGAGATTCTGTGAGTTTGAACATTTAAAGCAGTTTGGAACAGTGTGGTTATATTAGAATAATAGAAGTGGAAAAATGGTAAAAAGATACCAATGATATTGAAGCCAGATATGCACAGAATCAGTAACATAGAAGACATTTCCACCTAATTAATTTAAGGGTTGTTTTACTTGGCTACAGTGCTTAAAATGCTATATTTTTCTTGGTCAGGAGTATTAGGTTTGCATAAGTAAAACGAAAGTACAAGGATGACCTGGATTGATGGCAAAATGCATATAACCCATGACAAATGAAGAGGGAAGGATATTTCTGATAAATTGTTGATTAATATTTGCGGCAGTTGAAGAATTTATATTTCTATTTTAACCGTTATCATATTATACAGTAACTTTCAAAAACACATGGGCCCAGACTTTCTGTTGGCCAGCCAGCCATCACTCATGTGTGGATGGGAGTTGAAAGTAGACTCCTGCGGAATCTCCATTGGAGTAGACTCTGAAGGAATTGCCTGGGAGTTTAAAGGTTCTACTGGGCTGGTCCTCTACATCTGGAACCCTCTTAAAGTCTCAATTTAAATCGAGAATTCAAAATGTTCCAATTACATTCAGTAGGAGTTAGAGTATTAAATACATAGGCTAACAGTTACATAGAGTAACTGTTCAAATGACCCCATACCTCAGTCACGTAGACCCTCATCTACATCTTCCCCAGACCATTTACGCTGTCAAGACACTGACCTGACAGCCCTTATCTCCTGCCCCATCATTTTCCGACTCCATACCCTTGCCCCTTCTTCACCCCCTCTGGACATAATCACACTTATCCTGCTCTGAATCTGACCCTGCTTCAACCCCAGGACACAGCCCACCTGCTTCCTGCTGCCAGACCGAACCTATCCTCCTCCAGCTATGCACCTGACCCAATTTTCCTGCCAGTCGACGCACTCCCCTTTTCTCCTGCTTCACAAATAGCCTCTCTTGTGCCACCAGACTCAACATCCACCCTTTCTACTTCTGTTGGACCTGATTTCTCTTACCCACCTCAAACCCACTAAACACTACATCATTTACGTGTTTCAGAGATAGTAGGAACTGCAGATGCTGGAGAATCTGAGATAACAAGCTGTAGAGCTGGATGAACACAGCAGGCCAAGCAGCATCAGAGGAGCAGGAAATTTTTCTGAAGAAGGGTCCAGGCCTGAAACGTCAGCCTTCCTGCTCCTCTGATGCTGCTTGGCCTGCTGTGTTCACCCAGCTCTACACCTTGTTGTTATCATTTACGTGTTGTCAGTTGGCACCCTACTTCCTTTCTTCTTTGTGTCTAACCCCTATTTACCTGGCACCCTACCCTTAACATTACATTTTTCTTATGTACTTGCCATTTGATAGCAGTTGCCAATGTGGCTGACTGGATCTTTAATTGTCAGAATGTGGACAACGACTGCTGTGAAAAGAGGAGTGGTCTGCCTTTCTCCAACAATTCTGTATTTCAAAACACCTGTCAGAATGGAAGTACGGCGCTGCATTTCTGAAGGAGCCCTGATCAAAATCTCCTCTCAGAAATGCAGAGGTCCCTCCTTTTATGAAAAGGAGCTGAATGGCAATTTGCTTAAAATTGCCACTCCTCAGAAATTGCATCCCATATTCTAACAAGCCAAATGCTAAATGGCTATTTGTCCTTTGTAAATTACAGGTGGCCTTAATTTTATGTCACCTTGTTAAATGCCATTTCATTTGAACATTGTTTTATTTCATGAACGAGCAATCGGATCATCCATAACCTGATAAAGATGGGGCCAAATGAGTAAAATGGTTGATATTACATTCTATATTCTGAAAATATTTTATCTCACCATTTATAAAACTGATAATTTTCAAGCTGGCGAAATAAATTCTCCAAATGATTTTAGAAATTTCATCGCATCAATTAATACAAGTTGTCTTTTATTAACCTGTACTGAATTCCTGAACTATAACTACAGCAGTTTATTTCTTAAATAACTTTTGTGAAATCCTATAGTTAAACAAAATTATCTTTATTGTGCTAGAATTAGCTGTAGCAATGAATGATTTATGGTTTCTTGGAGTCCCAGTTTTTTTTTATAAGCAGGTACCTTAGTTAAAATTGCATTTGCATAAAAAAATGTTGCATGTTCTAGTCACAATGCTGATTTAATTATTCTTCATAGTGTAAGATTGAGCAAAAATCCCAATCATTTAAAATACTGGACCAAAACCTTGGACTTTTCAAAACCTTTTAGAAGTGACAAAAAGGTAGCTGGGCTGAGGGCTCTGGGAAAAATTCACAGACACAGAGATGGCTGCTTGGAATCATTGTTCACCCGAAAATCCAATTCATACCTCGACTCTAAAAGAACAATTAACCAGACCTAACACTCTAGACTGAAACTAACTTTTACCCTTTGAGCTACCCCAACCCAGACATTGTAGAGCCTGTACAGATAACAACACATTCAACTTCAATCAATATTTATGCACAGAGATACTGGATATTCCATTTAATCAAAATACATTCACACCTACTCTCAACTATCAGGAAGCCAACTGCCTCAAAGGGAACACCATTAACACAATGGCAAGTGCAGATTTGGCGTGAAGAGGTCTGCAATTAGTATAATTGCAGATCCCGACCTCACCTTAGAGAGCGACTTGCCCCAGGAGCTATCCCCACAGTTACTTTCAGGAGAGGAATCCCAACATGTGTGATTTTCCCCGAGAACTATCTGCACAGCTATCTCCAGAAGAGGGATCCCGATGGCAATCCTGAAACCTACCGACGCAGGCCTGTTCCGTACCAGGATAACCAACAGCGACCGATCCCGACTATCAGATCTGACAACTGACGACCACCGAAATCACTGACCTGACCAACTCCACAAGACCTCAGACACATCCTGAGGTGAAAACCAGCTCGCAAAAACCACCACAAAGTAAGGAAAACCAAGTACTCACCCAATAAATCCACTATGCATCCTACCGCATCAGCAGACTTAACCCAAACTGTCAAATGTCTTTATCGAAGCACCGGCCATAGCAAGTGGCAACCGCCAGCTTTACTTCCAAATCACGTTTATACCCAGTGGTGAGCTTATAGTCTCAAGATCCCAAAGTATCCAACATAGATAGCAGGGAGGAGAAGGTGGGTGGTTACACTGCAGGGAACCCAAAGGTACGAAGCCAGACAAAAGTTTCTGTGATTAAAACCCTGTTGTTTAGTTCTAATAGTGTTTAACCTGTATTTGATTTAATAGTGTTTAGTTACTGTCATCTGTATAATTGATAGTGTCAATTTTACTGTTTGTTGTATTTGCCTTTATTTCTTGTAATATACATACCTTTTGTACTTAATAAACACAGAGATTCTTTTGCCCCCGAAACACCTGTCTACTGCCTTATTCATTTCACATTCCTAAATAAGGTCAGTGTCAGAACCAGGGATCTGGGGGTGATTCGAACACCTAAAAATCAGCAGATTGCTGATCGCAAACCAGAACCCCTTAATAATAGTGATGATGAGTTTTACGATTTGGTATATAGTTTTACAACTGGGTACCATTTTGTGTACAATGCCAATTGATAAAGTTAGAGCTTTATTTTTCCCAACCCACTCCAGAAAAATATATGTCAGTTTTTTAATTCAAGTTTTGTTGTCATATTTATTCTGTTTTGATTTTCATCAGTTTAGTTAGGACCTGGATAAAATACTTTATATAAAATACACCTTATGACAAACTCCAAGATGTGGGTAGATCTAGTTTAAATGTCCAATGATGGGATGAAAAAAGGATTAATCTAGTTAGTTTAGCAGCTGTGTATATTTGCTTATTTCTTATCTTTTAATGTGTTCTCTTTGGTAGGTATTCCTCTGTTTTCAAAGGTTTGCAGCTGATATAATTGGTATCAAGCTAAATAAAGCAGAGATTGAGCAATCACAGGTATTGTAAAATCACTGAATTTGATTAGTTTATATTAATTTATTAAGATGTTTTACTTTAATCAACATATTGCTGTCTCTAAGGGTTTTATAGATCAATTAATGATTTAATGAAGAAATAAATCAGTATGTAAATTATGGTGAAATGCTATTCCAAAATTTATTCAAGTCAAGAGTACATTTATGAAAAAAGAATTTCAGGCACCAGTGAATTACTTATAAAACAGTTAATATCCATTTATACAGGTATTATTATAAACAAAGATATTTTTCTTCTTTTATATCCATGAAATAAATGGTGATATCACTTCTGTTTTAAATAAACAATGCATAACTTGGAGCTAAACATTCTCATTGCCACCCAAAAGCAACAAAAGATTAAGGAATATATGAGTAAGAAGCATAAGTAGACCATTTGACCCATTGAGCCTGCTCAGCCATTTAATAAGATTGTGACTGATTTGATTGTAACCATTTATCCACATTCCTACACATCCTAATAACCTTTTATTCCCTTGCTTACCAAGACTCAATTCACCTCTTCTGTAAAAGTATTCAAAGACTCTGCTTCCACGAGCTTTTCAGGAAGAGAGTTCCAAAAATGTATGATCCTCTTTGAAAAGAAGGCCTCACTTCTGTTTTAAATGGGTCTTTAATGCATTTTTAAACAGTAACCCCGAGTTACTGATTTCCAAGAACAGGAAATGTCCTGTTCACATCTAGCCATCATATACTTGCATGTTCAATCTTATATATTTCAATTGAGATAAAGTAGTAAATTGAATATAGAATCATAAAAATCCCTTTACTTCCATACGTTTATTCTCAGATTGTAAGCACATTGCACTCATTACCTATTGTAACATGCACATTTCAATGTATTAAGTTGCTTCAGGGTGAAGCAAGGTTCCTGAAGTCTTCAATCTTACTCCAGCAGTTCATTGTTATCTTTTATATTGTGCATTACTGCCTTTTAATAAGAACATAAGAAATAGGAACTGAAGTAGACCGTATATCCTCTTGAGCATGTTCATGACTGATCTGACTCAACTTCACATTCCTGTCTGATCCTGATGTCCCAATTAAGAACCTTTCCAAATCTCGAATATAATTGTGAGATAGAACGTTCACAATTCTGGGGTAGAGAATTCCAAAGGTTTACAGCCCTCTGAAGAAATTTCTCCTTATCTCAGTCCAAAATAATCAATCCTTTACTATATGGCTATGCTCCCATGTTCTACATATTTCAACTAGGGGGAACAACCTTTCTGTGACTACCCTGTCAAGCCCCTACGGAATCTGTTTCAGTAGGTCACCTCTCATCTGAAAACCAGAAAATACTCAATTTATTCAGCATCTCATCATAGGAAAACCCTTCCATTCTAGGAGCCAATGTAATAAACCTTTGCTGAAGCAGATGCAAAGTAAGTATATCTTTCATTTGATATAGAGAGAAAACTGTGCACAATGTTTCAATGTGGCCTCACCAAAGCACTATAAATTGTAGCAAGGCATCCTTATGAATTACACAATATGTCAAGGCTTGTAACATGCAACAATGATAGCAACTTACATTTACGTAGTGTCTTAATATATAAAAATGCACCAAGATAGGAGTGCTGCCAAAAAAACTTTGACATCAAACCACAAACCGATATATTATGACAGATGACTAAAAGCTTGCTCAAAGGCAGGTTTTAAGGAGTGTCGAAAACAAGGAGAGGAAAAGTGGTGGAGAGATTAGGGAAGGAATTTCTGGTGTATAGATTAGGCAGCTGAAGTTACAGCCATCAGTGGTGGGTGATTAAAATCAGAGGTGAATGAAAAGCTAAAATCGATGGAGTACAGAAGACTGTAGAGCTAGAGGAAATCCTAGAGATGAGTTGGGCAAGCTCATGAACACATTGAATTTGAGGATGGAAATTATAAATAAAAGTATTGCCATTATTGCTGGAACAGAAACCAATGCCAATCAGCAAGGACTAGTGAATTTGGCATGCAAGTTATATTTAAATTCTAATAGTTTGATATTTAAGCACAGACTGCATTATTACTTTGAAATCTTCTGTATCAATCATAAGAATTATCTCACAAACAGTAAAAGTAGAAAATAAGAAAGTAACGTTAATGTTACATACAATAATGATTAGCACAGATTGTATTTCAGGATGATCACATATTTTTGCCAATGCAAGGCATGTTTTAAATAATATAGATGTGGAAGTCTTCATGAAACTGAGAGGGATATGATGTGATAGCAGTCATGGAGACTCGTCTGCAACGTAGACAAAGCTGAGAGCTAAATATAATAGAATTGTCCTGCTGATTTCTCCAACTTACAATTCACATTGTTTGTTAATTCTAAAAAGTGTATTAAACCCTTTAAAAATCAGACTTCAAGCATGTATGAAATAAACTTATTTTGATTGAGTCAGTAGTGTTTGGGAGATTTATACCACTGGGAAATGTTTAAGCTCCGGCTACGACCAGATGCTAGTTCTGTTGGCAAATTGAGTTGCCAGACTCTAGGCATGAAACTCTAGGTCAAATCAGAGGTCATTTTTTGACTAGCAGTTCAGTTAACAAAGAATAAATGGGAAAATGTCACTGTCTGATGGTCCAACAACTGATAATGAAACTTGAAGTTTTAAGTCAGGCAGTTTCCTGAAACTTAAGTTTCAGGAAAATTAATGATCAAGAAATGGATTTAGCCTGATAAAAGGGTTCATGTGCTTTGTTTTGTTTTATGTTGTGAAATAGATTAAAGATCACAACAAATAGTTTGTTTATTCATGAATTATTTGTAAAGTAAATTGGATTACAAACTTGTATAATAAATATCACAAGGATGGTTCAGAAATCCTGCTGGTCCTCCAATTCAAGCTAATTAAAATAGTTAGAAAAGCTCAGTAAGAGCTTTTCATGAGTTGCAGTTCTGATTTGAAGGGGTGGCCATGTTACTCACACCTTCAGAAACTGACCAACTGAAAACAGGCTGGTATATGCTGGTGAACTGCCCAAGGGTGTCACCCTGACTCTGTAATACTTTCAGTGGTACAGAAGGAGACTGGATAAGAGAATACCTTGGCACTGCACATGTGCAGGGGAAAATGGGTACTAATACCAAGGCTTGAATGTGATCTGTATTAACGTGGCATTAGGGGTGGGGGCCAAAACTGCCAAGGAAAATTGCGTGGCTTTTTTCAACTTAGAAACGTTCCAGCTGGCCACAGAGGCAAAAGTGTCAGATTTTGGGCCTAGTGGTGTTAAGCAAGAACATCTTTCCTGGGAAAAACTGAACTCTGGGCATTGAGAGGGCACAGACAGAAAATGGGCAGAAAGGCGACAGAGTTGAATTTCCTGTACTGATTTACTGCTGAACTATTTGGAGATGACTGAGAAATCGTGCTGCAGGTGGATATAACTTTCTAAGCAAATCATCTAAGATATCTGTGCTCCTCGTGTAGAAGACCTTGCATCTTGTGATGCTGGTCACCATGACCTGCTAGCGACCATCAAAATCAGCGTGATCTTGAATGTATTCACTTTTGGCTCCTCCTAGTAGTCAGCTCAAGAGCTTTGGCCTCCTTCACTAGATTCTCCCAAATGCAGGATATAATCAGTTGCACCTTCTGGCAATCAAGGCACCGAGTGACTAGACAGTGATATCCATTAGCAGGAAAGATGCATTCGGTCAACATCCAACAGGTCTCCAATCAAAATAAAAGTTCTCCATTTGTCAGCAAGTTTTCCTGCTAGATGCCACAACTGCTTTATCTTCTGTTGTTTCATGCTGCCTCAATCTTCACTTCCATCTCCTCAATGTGTGGATAGATCCTAAGGGATGAGAAATTCCATGAAGAGGTGGCTACTTACTCACCCTTCCACAGGAGCACCAGATATATGCACAAAAAATGATAAAACCAATGTCACCTGTTTACCTCTAAAATCACACTTCTCTCTGCTGAAATAAGGAGCTTTGGTAAAAACTATAAATCTGCCCCTTAGGATAACAAGCAGTGATAGCTTCCATGGGATGTTAATGTGAGTGCCACACTTCTTCAGACCTAATATCTACCCCACTGACTGTAAATAGATGGAAAAATACGATGAAGGATTTCCTCAGGCAAAGATACGAATTATAGTCAGTTTCCTGCCAGTTTCTGTTCCCAGAACAAACCTGACTTCAGTTTCCTGCCTTCATGTGGAAAATTCAGTTCTAGAAGTTTTAAATACAGAATAGTTACTAATCAGTCCAATAACAAAATAAGAACAATTTCTTTACACAAGACAATGATTAGAATTTGAACCTGTTACTACTAGAACTGATTAATGTAAGACGTTTAGTTGCTTCCAAAAGGAAGCTAGACAAATGTGTGGAAGAAATTGAGAAAATCTGAAATGAGGAAGACAGAACAGGAAGAGTTTCATGTAGGGTAAACACCAGTACAGGCCCAGTGAGCCAGGTGGCCTGACTCTGTGATGTATATTCTTTGAAATTTTTTAATATGACCCCTTGGACAGGCTGTAAAGTGCCTAAATAGAAAATGAGGTGGTATTCATTGAGCTCGTGTTGTGCTTCATTGGAACACTGCAGCCGGCTCAGGTTAACATGAGAGCGATGGGCGGTTTATTGAAATGGCAAGCAACTGGAAGATGGGAGTCATTCCTAGGAACAGATCAAGGGTGTTCAGCAAAGCAGTCACCCAGTCTTGCCATTGTAAAGGAGACAATATTGTGAATAGCATTTCTAATAGACTAGACTGAGGAAAAAGTCCAAGTGAAAGGCTGTTTCAGAGATAGTAGGAACTGCAGATGCTGGAGAATCTGAGATAACAAGGTTTGGGCTGGATGAACACAGCAGGCCGAGCAGCATCAGAGGAGCAGGAAAGCTGACGTTTCGGGCCTCGACCCTCA